CCCAACAAAGTTTCGAATGAACCCAAATAAATCGAATGCTTTAGTTTGAAAGCCGTGATAAGATTGCAACCGATTCTTATTAGAATTAAGGCGATCAAAATACTTATTAAAAATTACCAAAAAATTTACAAATACATGAAGATCCGTTGTACATTTCTCTTGTCATTAAATTTGAATTATACTTCTTTGTTTATAATTTTCTCGATAATTACTATAATAGTTTAATATTTGTAATTGCAATATTAACATGCTCTCACATCTTATAATGGAAAACCTCGCGGAGTCATGTTACAGCGGGGAGACAAAAGCTACGGGCGATTCACCTTGTTTCGCGCGCAGCGGGGGCAATGACCCGACACAGCTGTAAACGCTGTACGTAAATAGTGCACACACGTATAAACAGCCGACTCGTTTGTGCGCACCCGATGAAAAATTGGTTTATGGAGAAGGCCCCGCGCGCTAACTCGTTCTTGTCGATTTTATCACAATTATCTTGATCAAGACAACGATGCTACAAATAAATATGTGAAAAATTATATACCTAATAAACTGGTACTCGGCCGCAGGAGAAATAATTGTGCAAATATCGTTTTAAATTTATAAGAGTTATATTATTAGGTTTGTAGAGTTATATTATACATAGTTATATATAATTAGGAATAATATTACATTCACTGAAATTGAATGATATTCTAAGTTTCAAATGAAACCTACGACCTCCATTTACGGGATCGACCATTAATCACGTGAGGCTCGAAAATGGGGGAGGGGGTTCGGAAAATTCACAAAACATCACAACGGGGGGGGGGGGGGGAGGTGTAGTGAGATATCACGTGCATTTATTTAAACTAAAAAGTGGCCCGTGATCTTAACTCTTCGTTGCCCAGGCAACGATTCCCCCGTCCACACTTCCTCCTTACTCGATTTTGCAGTTGTCCTGTATATATTCGGAAGCCTCAAGCGCATGATGGCAAGACGTCTGATACATTTCTTCGCATCGGTCTCTTGGAATTACCCCAACGCGATGTATATTATACCTTTACCACCGAGAATGTGACAAATCAACAACTTAAATTGCAATTAACCATTTATTGGTGCCGACGGGGATCGTACAAAAGTTGTTCGCGTATTGTGAAGTTTATAGCGAGCGCTTAGCCCTGAGCTACCACGGCTCTATTCTTTAATTATTATTTATAATATTAAATTATAATTCAGTCCATTGTGACAGCGCTGTCGTCGCGCCACAAGCGAAACACATTGAAACCTAAATCACGCTATCAAAGTTCCGAAGTAAAGCGGTATATATATATATATATAAATATATATATATATATAGAATAGCTCCGGTGATGTGGCGCGCTCACGGGCTTGCAGGCCACGATCCCTGAGTCAGCTATAACGCTGTAAGAGCCGCATAGGCTAACAGCACTTACATCTCAGAAAATAGCTAATGTGGCGGCCACAAGCGAAACACATCGAAGCCTAAATCGCGCTATCAAAGTTCCAAAGTAAAGCATGTAGATATATAATAGCTCCGAATTACTACTACTTGGGGTCCGCTGCTTTTTAGGCCGCGGGCTCTGAGACCTACGAAGCTATAAAAGCCAAAAGGCTAACAGCATTAACGTTATCAGAAACCAGATTACTACTTGGAGCATTAGCCGCTCCCCAGACTTGAACAGCTTGCCCGGTGGGCATAGAGTTAAAAAACTAAAGTGCTTTTCACTGAATGAATTTAAATGGCGGAATAATAGTGCCGTTACGTTATATAACAGATCTGCCGCAACGTAATCTACGTTATGCAAAGTGTACTATTATGTGTTTTTTTTATTCAACAATTTCGTTTTACAAGTCAATTTATTTGATGTGCTGAATCGCTCGACGGCGGATGTGGATATGGGTCAATGTCCATAATACAGCTATGTCTACATCGCATACACGTCAGATTTGAACGGGGACTTTTTTGTTTAACATGGACATCGTTATTACCCATGGTTTACCACCAGCCTATAAAATAGACTGCTTCTTCAAAATTTTGAGGAATGAGGGTTAACAATATTCCGTTGTCACTAGATGTCGTTAGTTGACAACTGAGTTGAAGTTTTTTTGTTATTTAATGTCATTTAATTGAGAAGTTAGTTTTAAATAAAAGTTTATCAAATTCTAGAGTATTATATTATACACATAAAAAAGCCTCAGTCGTATGCTCTGTAATTTTATGGAAAAAAATCTACTTTTATGAATATATGGAGTTTTTATTTTTTTATAGAATAGGGTGACAAACGAGCACACAGTCCACCTGATGGTAAGTGGTTGCTGCGACCCATAGACATCTACATCTATCTTCCATTACAAATCAAAATGCAGATGCGTTGTCACCCGTGAGGACTGAGATGGAATGCCTCATTTCCAGTAAAAAGGGTCTCCGGTTCTCTACACTCACCATACGAAATACAGCAGCATTAAGCTACTATTTCACGCTGGTATTCTGTGAGAGCGTGGTCCTTCCCCGGTCGAGCCGACCCATTCGTGTAACAACTATACTACTAATATAATTAGTTTAGTTTATTTATGTATAATCTAATTAATTTAAATGTAAAAGAGACGTTAACCTTTACATTTTTCGAACAAATTAACTTCCCCGCTATGAAATAAGTCAAATATTATACCTTATTTTTAAGTGGTGCCGCCGTGATGGCGGAAAAAGTCGTGGAAAAAGTCATAATATTTTGCTTACAACAGTCAACTTATTCTTTACCTATACGTGGTAGAGCGATTCTGCAGCTGCATGGTTGTAGTACGAATGGGTCGGCTGGACCGGAGTAGGACACTCTCACAGAATACCAACGCAAAATAGCAACTAATGGTGCTGTGTTCTGTGTGGTGAGTGTGGAGAACCGGAAACCCTTTTTCTAGAAATGAGGCTTTCCGTCTAAGTCCACAGATGTAACATCGCATGTGCATTTTTATTCTTAATCGAGGATTAATGTCGAGGTCCACAGAAAGCCACAGCATCCACTTACCATCACTTAAAAAAGAACCTTCCCACCTAGTAAACTTACAATACATAACGATATGTTATGATTGATTGTCTCACAATTACGTACTTCGTTAGTACGATTGTTATTTATTTATAAAATTCAATGTTGTATAATGTCTTCTTTATTTAATTACTCAAAAAAATCAACAATATCCAAAATTTCTCAGACTTCCCTGCCTTTATTACTTATCGCGGATTATTATACTTTGTTCGGAATTTGTTTTGAGCTAAAAATTTTCCAGAAATAGGGATCTATATTTATTCCTTACTGAAGTGGAAACAGTGAATCATTTTGATGTTTGACTGTTGCTATATTATCGTTATCTTCGTAATATAATCGTCATCTTCGTTCCAATAAAAATATTGCTTTTCGTACTCTATTACTTTCAGCCACCTTCTTCGTTATTAATTATTTACTGTTTCAGCCAACTTTAAAAATTCACTCAAAGCTTACATGGAACTATGTTTTCTGATTTACCTCTCATCCTTTCTTGTATTTTTTAAACTCATAGATTTTCACTAATAGAACGTAATTTATTTTCATCTCCCTTTTCGTCATTCATCGTGATCAACATTTGATAGCGTATTAAGTTTTTTTTTTTAGAAGAAATACTTTCCAGAGCATTGCAATATACGTTAAAACAAAAACAAACTTTATTTTGTTTTTCTTTTAATGAGTATTGGTGTATTATTTACGAGTACAATTATATTTTTTGATTAATTGGCATACATTTCGCTATAATTTTAATATTTAATGCAATTAATTTGTCTCTTTTAATCGTACTATTTGTGCATATAAGTGTTTGTGTCAAGACGTTAAGTTCCAGTTATGTTCTGCCAAAGTCAATTATTTAAATAAATTACGCTACGTCATGCACTTCGTAGAATAAAACTACCTAACTAAGTACAGCATAATAAAAATAGCTCAACGCGATTCTGTGAACGTGCGACAACGTTTGGTTATCGTTCCCATATCGAATATTTGAGATACTTCAACCACTTCTCTTTAGTTTGTGCCCGACCTGTTGAGGCAGGATTTTTATAAATAGATAGCCACAGCAGGTGTCTTGTCCTGCATTTATCAGTTATATACTAAGAAAAACTTATTTCAATTTTAAATATTAATGTGTGCAAATATTATTTTTATGATGGAAAATTCTAAACAAATTTCTCGTGACTTTAGTAAGATTTCTCTTATTTATTTTTTCAGGTGGCGAAGATTAAAAATACAGAGTCATGAAAAATACTACTAATAGTCACTCACATCAAGCAGGGTAGCTGTCGTTAGAAGGTTAGTATGTATTATTTTCATAAACTTAAATTTAATCTCAATCTCACCTTAAAACTTTACTGAGACTTAATGAGCTGTACCTCAATCAAACAATGTGAGATTCCCATTTTCAGTGTAGGAAATTACTTTAGAAAATAATATGTATAATGTAACCGAAAGCTTTTTGAAATATTGCGAAAGAGAGATAATTTTTTTTAAATTTATTTTATGTACACACATTAAGATACAGAAGCAGTCTTATAGTAATTTCGTACAAAGGTTCTACTTATTCCAAATTAGCTGAAATATCTTCCAGTAGACCCATAAAGGAAATTATATTGAAATTGCAAACTTAGTGCATACATTAGTACTCCTAAAAAATAAATAATATACACAATGTTACGTAAGTTATACAAAATAAAAGAATAAATAAAAATAAAATAAATCAATAATAAATAATAATAATAAATATAATAAAGGCGTAGGGAATTAACGACCCCATCGCCCGCTGACGTAACAGTTAAGTGACAAAACTGCTACGTCAACGCAGTCAGTCAGCGCCTTGCGAGAGGTGTGAGCGCCGTGCCTCGGCAGAATTTAAGGTGCAGAGGCCCGTTTGTGCTTATGGCTACACACGAAACGGTGCCGGGCCTGGGCGTCTCCCGTTAATGGACGCCCAAATAATGGATGATGGATAAAAAGATAGTGCGCAAAGGGCCGCTGCCTGGGGGTCGCCGGGGCGCGTCTGGAGCTGGCGCTGGACGCGGCAGCATGCGGGCCGCCAGCCGAGCGCGAGGAGCTGCACGGTCACCTAGCAGCCCTCCGCATCCATCATCCCCACCAGAAGGCTTGGTGTCGGCTGGGTCTTCTCGGACTCAGCAAGCGGCACCCGCCGCTGGTGGAGCACGTCGCATGCGTTGGTCACAAGCAATGAATGCAAACGCACTGCGGGCGTACTTTAGGGCAAAAGGGGAAGAAACTGGATGTTTGGCGTATCGGGCTAGGATGCATCGTCTTTTTGCTGAGCTGGAGCCATCTTTAATCGTCACAGAGCAAAACCTGGCAGACCGAGTTCGGTATATCTTGCGCTCAAATATATTTGATGTCGCCGAACTCGAACGGCTACGACGTGAGGCTGTTCCCTCGTCGGATGAAAATGCTACGGCTGAGGATGCGGCGCCACAAATGGTAGAGCAACCCGCAAACGTGGATGCCGCCGTGAGTACCCCAGTTGTGGTTGATTCAAACGATGATGGAACAGTCGCCCAGGAACTGGAATTAGAGCATATGAGGAGTACATTGGAAGAGGCGATTGTGGAAACGCGCAGTACGCCTCTCGAAAATCGACCGCGACTTCCCCGCATAGCCCTAAGCAAGCGGAATCGGGCTGTCGTGAGGGCTCTGAACCCAATGCTGGTGACCTATTTGGAAGCCAGCCGGGACCTTTGCGAGACGGACTCAATTCTTTTTGGCGCCGCGCTGGCAGTCTACCGTATCATAGGCACCAAGATTTCCACGGCTGGACGCGCTACTGGCCATAGTAGCGCTATCCAGCATGGAGAAGAAGAATTGAGGAACGTATCGCAAAGGCTAGAGCTCTCATCGGCAGACTGATATGCTTCAGATCAGGCAACAACAGACTAAGAATTGTGCGCACCGTCAGGATGGCGTTTGCTGGGACAAATGTCAGTTTGTCCCAGCCGGACATAACGCAAAAACTGACGGAGCGCATAGATGATCTGAAGCAGAGAATCGCTGCTTGGGGAAAGCGGATTCGGCGATATACCGAGAGGTCGACACGGTTCAACCAGAATCGTCTCTTCCAGAGTGATCAGAAGAGGCTCTATGAATCATTGGAGCGACCAATGGTAAGTGGAACGGGTCCAGCACCGAATCAGGCCGACACTGTAGCATTCTGGCGCGGCCTGTGGTCAGAGCCCGTAAACCACAGCGAGGGCCCTTGGACGGAAGTTGTGGCGAGTCGGTGTGCGGGTATTAAGCCCATGGACCCCGTCATCATAACGCCGGATGTCGTAGCTGAGGCGGTCCGTAGGGCCCCGAACTGGAAAAGTCCGGGGCTTGACGGGCTGCATCACTACTGGCTGAAGGGGTTCATGGTGTGTCACTCTGTGCTCGCCCGACAGTTTCACGAGGCTCTCAACCAGAAGTCGCTCCCAAGCCTCTTCACTACTGGGATCACTCATTTGGTTCCTAAAGACCAGGGTACCACCGACCCAAGCAAATACCGCCCCATCACGTGTCTACCGACCATATACAAGACACTAACATCCATTTTGAGTGCGAGAATCACTTGTCACCTGGACTCAAATCAGGTGATGTCGCGTGCTCAAAATGGATGTCGGGGCGGTGGTCGTGGAACCAAGGAACCACTCCTCATTGACGCGGTTATTGGCAAAGTGGTGAAACGCAACTGTCGGAACTTCTCCGCCGCCTGGATAGACTACAGAAAGGCATTCGACTCGGTTCCCCATACATGGCTAAAGAGAGTCCTCGAGCTGTACAAGATAGACTGTACAGTTAGAGACTTCCTCGAGCAGTGTATGGGGCAGTGGAGTACGATCCTTTGTCATCTGGGCGAGCGGATGATGGCTGCGGAGAACCACATAAGGATAAGAAGGGGTATCTTCCAGGGCGATTGTCTGAGTCCAATCTGGTTCTGCCTCTCTCTGAACCCTCTCAGTACCTTACTGGAGGGCTCCGGGAGGGGATTTCAGCTACGGAAAGGAGGGGCAAAAGTGACCCACCTTTTCTATATGGATGACCTCAAGTTATTCGCCTCCAGTCGCTCCCATCTTATGGAATTGCTAAACATCACTTGTGAATTTAGCAATTCCATTGGAATGGAGCTTGGGACGGATAAGTGTGCGGTCCTCCATGTTGAAAGGGGAAGGGTTACTAACTCTGAGGGCACATCTCCCCAGGACCCTTCGAGGCTGACATACCGATACCTTATGTCACAAACATCGGTATCGATGAGACTGGTATGAAACAGTCAGTTTGCGACGTGTTTTATGCACGCTTGACCAAAGTGTTTAACAGCCTTTTGTGCGGTGTGAATAAGGCACACGCATATAACGGCTGGGTCATGCCTGTCCTCATGTACACCTTTGGCATACTCAGGTGGACTCAGACTGAACTTAACGCCCTGGATAGAAAAGTCCGTACTACCATGACGTCCCATAGGATGCATCATCCGAGATCGTCGGTAATGAGGCTGTACTTGCCGCGGAAGCATGGTGGTCGTGGCTTCTTGAGCGCGCTCACCATGCATAATCGCGAAGTGTGCAGCCTCCGTGATTACTTCCTGGCGAGATCGAATGATCCATTCTATAAGGACGTCATTTCTTGTGATAAAGGACTTACCCCTCTATCCTTAGCCAACGAGCAATGGCAAGACCCGGCAGTGCAGAGCATTTCCGACCGGGAGACCGTATGGAAGGAGAAGGAGCTCCACGGGAGGTTCTACAAGGCTCTACATGAGCCTTTCGTAGACACAGTAGCCTCCCTCCACTGGCTACGCTTTGGTGATCTCTTCGGGGGAAACCGAGGGTTTTGTCTGTGCAATACAGGATCAGGTTATTAAGACCAACAACTATCGGAGATACATCCTAAAGGATGGCACCGTCGACATCTGTCGAGCTCGTCGCCATCCCGGTGAGTCACTTAGGCATGTTATCTCCGGTTGTTCGACGCTTTCTAACTCTGAGTACTTGCACAGGCACAACCTAGTAGCCAGAATTCTACACCAGGAGCTCGCTCTGAAATACGGTCTCGTGGATCGGAAATTGCCGTATTACAAGTACTTGCCGGAAGCCGTGCTCGAAAATGATCGCGCCAGGCTCTATTGGGACCGGGCCATCATCACAGACAGGACTATTCTTGCGAATAAGCCTGATATTGTGCTGATGGACCGGGCACAGTCAAGGATATTTTTGGTCGACATTACCATTCCGTATGACGAGAACCTCGTGAAAGCCGAAACAGACAAGCAAACAAAATATCTGGACCTGGCTCACGAGGTGACCGACATGTGGGGTGGTCTGCCGACCGAAATTATTCCTGTAGTCGTCTCTGCAAACGGGCTAATCCCAGTCAGCCTCTCGGGTCACCTGAGGCGACATCTTGGGCTTTTATTTATTTATGTACTTTTATATTTATTTTATGTTATTGATATTTATGTATATTTATCTTTTCATTTTCATTTATAATTATATATTTATACATCCCAACCAGATGAGAAAACTATATAGATACCCAACATAATAATAATAAATACGATAGTTACATATGATATATATAAACTAAAACTAATATAATATAATAATATATATAAATTAACAGGATGCAAAGTACTTATCTCTAAGACGTTTCTTGAATACCAACAAAGTTTCGGAATTTCTTATATTTGACGGTAGTGAGTTTCATAATCTTACCGCGTGAACTGAAAAGGAGTGGGAAAGTCAAGAAGAGTTTTAACAAGGGATCTGCATGGTTTGTCCGGAGGATGGGTTAAGGAAAATCGGCTTCTGAGGTGTGTGGGAGAGGAAGGGTTGTGCAAAATGTTATAGAGGAGACATAACAATCGAGTGTTCCTTCGAAGTCGAATTGGGAGTCACTTGAGTTGCTTACGAAACTGAGATATACGGTCAAATTTCTTGAGCCCAAATATAAAACGGATACACTGATTTTGCAAGCGCTCAAGTTTATTAAGAAGCTCCTCTGTAGCATCCAAATAACAGCATGCATCCGCATAATCAAGGAGAGGTTGGATAAGAGTAAGCACGAGTGATATATTAGCTTTTAGGTGTAAGAAATTTTGTAGACATTTAAGCGAATGCACGCTAAAGTGGACCTTACGTCTAACCTCAGCGATATGCTTGGACCATGATAAATGATGATCAAATATGACGCCTAAGTTTTTGACAGTATTGGCAAAGGGTATAGGAACGCCATTAAAACAAACAAAAGGTAGAGATGAAAATTCTAATCTATTACGCAAATGCCTACTGCCTATTATGATGGCCTGAGATTTCGTGGGATTTACTAATAGTCCGAAGGATGCAGATCATTCACAGATGCGGCTCAGATCTGCAATCATGGCTGCAATTGCATTATTTGTATCACCCACCGGAAAATGACGATAAAGCTGTAAGTCATCCACGTAGAGATGGTAATTAGATGTAATAACACTCGTAATAGAGTTAATAAATATGGAAAATAAAAGGGGAGAAAGAACGGCCACCTGAGGTACATCCGTAGTGATACCAGACCAATCGGAAAGAGTGTCATTAACACGGACACAATGTGATCGACCACGAAGATATGAATCAAACCATGCGATGGTAGATGGGGAAATGTTTATAGATTCCAGGATCCGGAGAAGAATATCAAAGTCTACTGAAGTAAAAGCACTACTAAAGTCAAGCAAAACTAAAAGTGTAAGAGATTTATTGTCCATGGCCCAACGGATATCATCGGTTACTTTAAGTAAAGCAGTGACAGTGCTGTGTCCACGACGAAAGCCCGACTGATAAGTGGAGAGCAAGGAGTTAGACGATAAGAAGAGAGAGAGTTGACTATGGATGATGTGTTCCAGAACTTTAGAAAGAAAGGGTAAAATAGATATGGGACGAAAGTGGGACAAAGAAGAAGGATTAGGAACCTTAGGCAGAGGAATTATATATGCTTGTTTCCAAACTGAAGGAAAAGATGATGACGATATAGAAAAATTAAATATGTGAGTAAGAATTGGTAGAAGTAAAGGTAGAACTGGCAAAATCATCTTCGCGCATAGACCATCAATACCAACAGCATTTGAAGAGATGGCTAGGATGGATTTTTTGACATCTTCCTCCGTTACAAGGGAAAGATGAAAAGGGCAAACGTGCGGTTTCGGTATACCCGCCAATGCGAGTAGTGTGTTGGAGATGATGTAAGGATCTAAAGTCATAGGAGGAGTAGCAAAGTCAATCACTTTTCACTTTAGATCCTTTACTTTAACGTCATTGTATTCTAGGATCGGAGACCTGCCCACACCGACAGAACGAAGGAACTTCCACATCTCAGTAGAATTTTTATTATGGAGAGAGTTGTAAAGTAAATTTTGTTTATGGATAATCTGTAATGCGTAAAATTATGTCACAAAAGATTCAATAGTATTTTTATTTTAGTTCTGATATTTGTCGAGCGTGACAAGGAATTGAAATAAAACCCCTTAAAAAAAGAAAGCAGCTACAGTTTATAATATTTGCAAACTTGACATTAAAAATTTAAACACAAGGAAAAAGACTCAATTATATACCGGCAGTGCATTCGTAAGCGGCTTTTATGTACATAGTTTAAAATCAAGCCATAGTAATACATTTCCAGTTTCCACGGTATCATTAATCAGCATAAATTAATCGATTCTTACCATTGTAACTTACATAATATTATTATCAAAAACAATTAGATAATGTGTGCATCGTAACTGATGTTGTCTTTTATTTAAACCTTCATTTGTTGTATCTACTTGGCATTGCATAGGGATAAATGACAAAATTTGTAGATCTTATGACGTCCAGTAAATGGTGGTTTCATTAATTTTAAATAAC